ATCTCTTTCGAGATATAAAAGAGAGAAGCGAGCAGAGACACATGAGAACCTCATACAACCAAGAAAGCAGTGCTGGGAGCAGAGCGCGTCCTTTGGACCTGAGGATCCTGCGCAGAGAAGCTCCCAGACCAAAGGAAGACTGATGACACGGACTTTCTTCCAGAGCCAATGGAGAAGGCGTTCCCCTGGTGCTGATGCCCTGAATTTGGACTTGTAGCCTACTGGACTATGAGAGAATAAATTTCTCTTTGTTAAAACCATCTACTTGTAGTATTTCTTTTGGAGCAGCACTAGATGACTGATACAGCTTGCTTTATGGCCTAATATGTGGTCTATTCTGGAGAATGTTCCATGTGTGTTGGAAAAGAAAGTATACTTAGCTGCTGTTGGGTGCAGAGTTCAGTATATGTCTATGAGATCAGGTTGGTTGATTATAGCATTTAGCTCTTCTGTGTCTTTGTTGAGCTTCTTTTTGGATGTTGTCCTTCACCGAAAGTGGCGGGTTGAAGTCTCCTACTGCTATTGTGGAGCTATCTCTCTCTCTTTTCCGTGCTGTTAGTTTATTTTATGTATTTTGTAGCCTTGTTGTTGGGTGTGTAAATATTTATCATAATTATGTCCTCCTGGTGTATTGACCCTTGAATCACTATTCAGTGCACTTCCTTATCCTTTGTGATAGATTTTACTTTAAAGTCTATTTTGTCAGAGATTAATATTGCCACTCCTGCTCTTTTTAGAGTGTTGTTTGCTTGATGAATTTTTATCCATCCTTTGAGTTTTAGCCTGTTTGTGTCTTTAAGACTAAGGTGCGTGGCTTGTAGGCAGCATATAGATAGATCATGCTTTTTTATCCAATCTACCACTCTCCGTCTCTTTATTGGTGCATTAAGTCTGTTTACATTCAGCATAGTCATTGATAGGTATGAGTTTAGTGCTGTCATCCTAATACCTCTTTTTGTGTGTTGTTCACAGTTTCTTTGTTCTCCTCAATTTTCTGTGCTGAGTCGTTTTTCTTTCTTTCTTTCTTTCTTTTTTCATCTTTTTCTTTGTTGTAGATTTTGTGTTTGCTGGGTCTTTACGTTTTTCTACTTCTTTATTTTGATTTGTAGAATTGTTAGATTCCTTTGTGGTTACCTTAATATTTACCCTATTTTTCTAAGTTTAAACCTGTCTTTTATTACTTTATATTGCCTTAACGTCCCCTCCATATAGAAAATCAGTGGCTCTATTTTTTAAGTCCCTCTTTTTTTGTTTTAATATTATCCTTTCTTTTTACATATTGATATCTGTTTCCCTATTTTCAATGTTTTAGCTTTGATGTAATTTCAATTTCTGTATCTGAGTCAATATCTGGCTGCTCAGTCCTGTGTTCTAGTCTTATATTGTTAGCTGGTGTTATTGATTATCTAACTGTAGGAATCCCTTTAGTATTTCTTGTAATTTTGGTTTGGTTTTTGCAAATTCCCTGAACTTCTGTTTATCTGGCAAGGCCCTAATTTCGCCATATTTGAGAGACAGTTTTGCTGGATATATAACTCTTGGCTGAAAGTTACTTTCCTTCAAGGCCTTAAACATGTCATCCCATTGCCTTCTAGCCTGCATGGTTTCTGCTGAGTAGTCGAGCTTATTCTAATTGACTCTTCTTTGTAGATGACTTTTTTTTTAATCCCTAGCCACTCTTAAAATTCTCTCTTTATCTTTGGTTTTGGTAAATTTGATTATAATATATCTTGGTGACTTTCTTTTGGGATCTACCTTATGTGGGGTTTGATGAGCATCTTGGATAGATATCTTCTCATCTTTCATGATAATCAGGGAAGTTTTCTGTCAACAAATCTTGAACAATTTTCTCTGTATTTTCTGTTATCCCCCCCGTTCTGGTACTCCAATTACTCGTAGGTTATTTCTCTTGATAGAGTCCCACATGACTGTTAGAGTTTCTTCATTCTCTTTAATTATTTTATCTGATTTTTCCTCAAATAAGTTGGCATCAAGAGCTCTATCTTCAATGTCACTAATTTTAACTTCTACTGCCTCAATTCTGCTCTTATGACTTTCTACTGAGTTGTCTACTTCTGAAATTTTATTGTTAATCTTCTGGATTTCTGATTGCTGTCTCTCTATGGATTCTTGCAGCGTATTAAACTTGGCATTATGTTCTTGAATGACTTTTTTAATTTCTGCTACTACTGTGTCTGTATGTTCCCTGGATGTTTCTGCATTCTGTCGAATCTCCTTTCTTATTTCTAGAAGAGTTCTGTATATTAATCTTTTGTATTCTGCCTCTGGTAATTCCAAGAAGTTCTCTTTCTCCAGAGAATTTATTGATTGTTTATTCTGGGAGCTTACTGAAGCCATCATGGACTACCTCTTTATGTGACTTGATATTGGATGTTGTCTCTGAGGCATCAATAATTTATTATAATTTTATTTTGTGTTTGCTTAGTGAGACCTAGCTTCTTATTTTGTTTTGTTTCGATATGTCCAAATAGGCTGCTCATGTGCACTAGTTTGATTTTTGACACCTTTAGATCGCTAATGTCCTGTCACCAGGTAGGTATGTGCACACAGGAGTCCATTACATTTTCCTATATGGGTTTGGTTCCAGTGTTCAGGCAGTTGGTCACCAAGTGTGTGATGCAGGCTCTCACCCCCAGTCATAGAGAGGCATGGGTGATTGGTGCAGGCACTGGACTCTGGCTATGGTAGGGGATGACACACTGATCCAAGTAGGGAGCTGACAGCTGCCCCTGAGAGTCTGAAAGGAAAGCATGTCCCTATTCTCTAGGGTGAGTAGGTAGGTGAGTTTTGCAGCTGGACTAAGAGCACCCCACTCTGTTGGCTGCAAAGACTCGAGGGCACCACTTTTTCTTGGACTCCTGTAGCAGGTGACTAGGCACTTAAGGTGTTACCACCAGTCCTCAAGACCCTGCTGCAGATTGATAAAAGTGCCTACTTAAGGGGCAGGGCTGTTTCAAGAGTCACAAATCTGCCCATTCACAGCTGAAGCAGTTGAAGTTAAACTTCAGATGTTTGCCCTGTTGTATGTGGCAATGAGGGCGAATGCTGTTGAGATGGTTCTCCACAAGTCTATACACGGGTGTAAGGCACTCAGAGTCTGCAGACCCCTGATAACTGTGGCCAGCAAAGG